CTTGCTCATGGATAGGAAGAACAAACATTGTGAAGATGGCCATTCTCCCAAAACTGTTATACAGATTCAACGCAATCCCAATAGAAATACCATCAACATACCTTATAGATCTAGAAGAATCACTCCTAAATTTCATCTGGAACCAGAAGAGACCTAGAATCACAAAGGCAATTCTAAGCAGCAAAGACAAAGCAGGAGGCATCACAATCCCTGACTTGAAGTTATACTACAAAGCAACAATAGTAAAATCCGCATGGTATTGGAATTAAAACAGAGCCGAAGATCAATGGAATAGATTAGAAGATACAACCACAACTACAAACACACTCAACCACCTTATCTTTGATAAAGGAGCCAAGCAGGTTCACTGGAAGAATGACAGTCTCTTTAATAAATGGTGCTGGAAAAATTGGCTCTCCATTTGCCAAAAACTAAAGCTAGACCCATGTCTATCACCATGTACTAAATTAAAATCTAAATGGGCCAAAGATCTGAATATTAAAACAGAAACACTAAATCCATTGGAAGACAAATCGGGTAGAAACCTTGGAGACATAGGAGTAGGTAGAGAATTCATGAACAGGACTCAAACCGCACAGGAAATACTTCCCAGAATCAATAACTGGGACCACTTCTTATTAAAAAGTTTCTGCATGTCAAAAGAAATCTCCAGCATAGTGAAAAGAAAACCCACAAACTGGGAAAAGATTTTAGTGAACTCTCTCTCAGACAAGGGACTCTTGTCTAAAACATATAAAGAATTAAAAAAACTCAGACCTCCAAAATTCAAAGATCCAATCCAAAAATGGGCATCTGAGATGAATACGCAATGCTCAGATGAAGAAATGCAAATGGAAAATAAATACATGAAAAATGTTCATCATCATTGGTCATTAGAGAAATGCAAATTAAAACCACACTGAGATACCATCTCACTCCTGAAAGAATGGCCAGGATCAAGAAAACCAACAACAACAAATGCTGGAGAGGCTGTGGGGAAAAAGGAACTCTCCTGCAATGCTGGTGGGAGTGTAAACTGGTACAGCCTTTGTGGAGGTCTGTCTGGAGATTTCTCAAAAAGTTGGGATTGGAAATCCCATTTATTCCAGCTATTCCACTTCTAGGCATATTCCCAGAAGAACTGAAAGCATCATACCACAGTGATATATGTGCACCTATATTTATAGCAGCACAATTTGTAATCGCCAGATCTTGGAAACAACCCAAGTGTCCATCAACTGAGGAATGGATAAAAAAGTTGTGGTATTTCTATACAATGGAGTATTATTCAGCTATAAAGAAGGATCACATTGAGATATTTATCAATAAATGGGCGCAGCTTGAGACCATACTCATAAGTGAAATAAATCAATCTCGCATGTGTGAATACCGAATAGTTTCCCTAATGTAAGTAATGATTCAAATATGTAAAAATATGTGGTAATCATGATTCTCCATTATGTGGCCTTGAAGCCTTATAAAGTTTTCACTTATTAATTGGAAAGGCTTTATTCTGGGCTTCTTGATATGGAAATATTTGAAGCTATAGTATATGAAGTTTTATCCAAATATTTCAAGGAAAATGACAGACACTATGGTAACTACTATTAAGTCGGGTTATTTGGTGGTGAAGCACTAGATTGCTGAAACAGTCACGCTTTGACCTGTATTGTTATATTGTTATGTCCTGTTTTATCTCAATCTCTCCCTTATTCTTTAAGAAAATTATTTAGTTATTTCTTATGTTTGTTTTAATTAAGGGGAAAAATTTTAAAAATTAGCAGGACATATAATAGTAACTCTTTTTGATTTCCTATTAACTTGTTTTGAAGTCCTGTAATACTCCCACGATCTTGTTTTGACTGATTAGACTCTGTTCCATTCTGTATGATAGTATCAAGTTTGAGGGTATAGGCAACTACTTTGAAGGCAATAAGATTCACTAAGATGCCCATTCTGGTTTGACTATTGTCTCCTTTGGAAGTCCTGTAATGTTCACAATGCCTAAGTTTTATTGGTCTTGTTCTCTACTGTTTTGTCCAACTTTATAATATCTAATGAGATAGACAATTCTTTTTAAGGAAACAAGAGACAACGTTGATAACCATTGTTGATAACCTTGTACTCTGTTCTACATCATGTGTTATGTCTATCCTTGGTTTTGACTGACAGCTTTGTTTTGCAATATTTGACTTTATTCTCTCCCCCACCCCAAAAAAGTAATAAGAACTAAGGAGTAATAAAATCCAAAATGTGTAAATTTTGTTGTAAAAAAGAGAGGGGGAAAAAAAAGAGCTCTAACGGATATAACAGCAAGTGTGTTTAGGGGTGTTAAATAGCTGACTATATTAATGTTTTTGGATCATTGAACACAGCTGTTTGCAGTCTCTCTGTTTGAATGTCCACTTTATATTCTTTGATACTGTGATTTGAGCAACTATTTCTAAGATGATAATATGTAATCTATTAACAGGAGATTTCTTACTGTTTTTTTTTGTAGTTCTGTATTATGTGTACCCTTACACCACTTTGTTTTGTTTTGTGTTTTTCTCTTTTTCCTTTTAAATAAAATTTTAAAAAAAGAATAAAAAAATAAAGCAAATCTTCCTGCAGCATGAGCTTAAATCCGTCAATTCCTCCTCCCCAATGACAAGTAGAAGGCAATATGGTGATTAATTTTATGTGGTAAATTGACATGGCTGTGAGATGCCCAGGTAGCAAATTAAACATTATTTCTGGATGTGTTAATGAGGATGTTTCTAGAGGGAATTTAGCATTTGAATGCAGAGAGTGGATAAAACAGAAAGCCCTCCCCGATGCCAGTGGCACCATCCGATTTTTTAAGAGACTGATTAGAACCAAAACAAATGAATAAATAAATAAACAAACCAGAGAAAGTTTGAATTAACCTTTCCCCACCGGGCTGGAATATTTGTCTTCTGCCCTCCCTCCCCCTCATCCTCACACCTCCAACCTCAGAGGGCTACATCACCGGCTCTCTAGTTCTCAGGCTCATGCAGTGCTAGGGAGAGAACCCAGGGCCTCGAGCATGCTAAGCAAGTGCTCTACCACTGAGGCACATCCCCGAATCTTTCTAGTGTTTGGGCCTTTGAACTACACCACTGGGTTTTCTTGGTTTCCAGCTTGCACACAGCAGGTTGTGGGCCTTCTCAGCCTCCATAATCAAATGACTCAATACTTCATAATAAATATCAGAGGTGGATGTAACTGGATAGTTGTATGTCTCTGGAAAACCCTCATGAATACAGGGGAATTAACTGTCTTCTTCTCAGTGAAAGCACAGGCCAGTGAGAAGGAGCAGAGCAGGACTGAGAACCAGGGAAACCTTGCCAGCCATTCACGCTGCTTATTTGTATGGTCTTAGAAATTAGGTTGGCAGCAGCCCCATCCCTTTGGACAGTGAAACCAGCTTACCTGCTGCCACTGATGTGTGTGCTGAGATAATGGGAATCTGAAGTCCTGGAACTAAAGAGTAGAGAGACATCTAGCCTCTCGATAGATAGCAGTCAAGATAAGGATAGACAGAGATGGGGTATGGAAATGGAAATGATGGTAGTAAATGTCCTTGGAGGTCTCTGTGCACATCTGGACCTCAGACATATGCTTGGCTGTCAGCATCCAGAGGAAGCAAAGGTAGCAGAATGATTGAGTGTGACCTCAGAAGGTAGCCAAGCCAGGTCTATGATTCACAATCACAGGAGTATTATTTAACCTTTTTACGTTCCATATTCCTTATCAGCAAAATGAGGATATTCATTTTATTGATAAAGTACATGTAAATGAGATAATAGCAGTAAAATGCTTAGCAAGGATCTGATGCATAGCAAAGCCTCAGTAAATGTTAGCTGTTGTTATTATCACCATTCCATCATTTTAAATGATAGCCTATACCAGCTCCATTGGAGCAAACTGAAGTGTCAGGCCCAAACATCTTGTGTATCACTTCTGATTGATTGATCAATCGATTGATTGTGGCTGATCATTGAAGAAAATTAAAAGATCACCACTGATATTATCCAGGAGTAGTGAATCATGATTGATTGGCAATGTCTGCCCCAGCTGCAGGCAGGAAGTGGTAGTGGACATGCCATGCCCTTGTTTCCCGATAATCTGCATTTCACAATTTATCTGGCAGCAAATACTGGTTTAAGAATCTTTCCATTTCAAGTTTTATGAGAGTACATATAAGCAGTCTAAATGGCTATTTTTAAATGAATCTTATCTAATGTGGCTCTTCATAAAATAGATTGAGAGGAGGCACTTTTCAATTGTGATCTCTGCAGAGAGTTTCTATGGTATCATTCCCAGTTACTTTGTAAAGGAAAGTGGTTCTCAGGTAAAATGTTCATAAACAATTAGCTTCACATGGCTGCCAATGCCAATCTAAAAGTCTTGTGGTACAAAGATCAGATGAGAAAATAGTGCAGTGGAAAAAGCCTGAGAATCCGTAGGCCCAGCGTCCTGCTTTGGTGGAAACTCATCATGGGGAACCAAATTGAATAGGTGACTTCTCCAAGACCAACTCTCCTGCCTCTAAAGAAAAATAGTGAATGATCTCCAAGATCATCCACTGGTACTCTATCCCAGGGAAGGGAACTACTTCTAACTACTATATTTTGGAAAGAGGAAGAACACTTTTAGCATATCCTTGACCTTCTTGAAGGACTTGTTCCTAAATTTTCCTAGATCATCAAATGGTGAAACAGCGGGGCTGGGGGTTTAGCTCAGCGGCGTAAGCACCTGCCTTGCAAGCAGGCAGTCGTGAGTTCGATCCCCGGTACCGATAAAAACGAAAAAAAAAAAAAAAAAAAAAAAGTGGTGAAACAGCACTCCAACACAGATTTAACCTAAGGTTGAGTTTTTTCCAGTGGAAACAACTTCATCAGTACAAAAGATAATATTGTGTGGAAGCAAGGATTACAGAATGAGTTACCTGTTCAAGTAGATTAAGAAATGGTGACTTCCAGGAGAACATGGCGGACAGATAGCAGCAGCTATGGAGGCTCTCTGAAACACCCAGCGTAGAATTCAGGAATGGTGCAGAGTAAAGAATCATAAGCAAGTGGAGATATGCCCTGCTGACCTAAGAATGAACTGGGCTGAGAGAAACCAACTTGGAATGCAATCTGATGCTATAACAGGAACAGAAAAGTCTCAGTGTGGAAGCTGGAGCCCGTGCCATTGGAAGCCGCGATTTGGGTTTCCTGCCGCGTGGCAGCTGCATCTACATCAGCTTGGCTGGGAGAGAGACGTGCGGAAGCTCTGAGAACGGGAATCGGCGAACGGAGTTGAAAACAGGACGGGCGGGGAACTGTGCATTGACTTGCGGTAAGGTGAGTGAGAGAAACTGACACTCTTTCGCAGTTTAGGAGACTCCAGCAGAGGACATTCTGGGACTGGCAGACTTCTGGGAGCAGGGCACTGCAGCGACTTCAGCCACGTATCCCCCTCTCAGGCGGGATTGGTGAGAAGTGCCTAGCCTATGTGACACTGCTGGCTGAGACCCAGTAGGCTAGCACAACCCAGATCCCAGAGCCTGAGGGTGGCCTGGGGGGCGGGCCCTGCTAGGCTGCCTGGTCTGCAACTTCCTGGTATGCTGTGGTGGGCGGGAACACCTTGCCGGCGCAATTTGATCAGGCTGTGGCTGACAGGGAGGGAAGCTGGGCCTCCTATATACACTTGCATATATAAGGAACAAAGAATATGGGAAGAGGGAGCAACAAGAAAGGCCCTTCTATTGAGTCTAGATTTGACCTTTCCAGAATAATTGCAGAATTATAACATGAACATCAAGAATTTTGTGCTTGACCTCTGGACCTCTTTCTGTCCCCAACCATTCAACCTCACTTTCTCCCTTACTCCCATCAAAAGTGACTGTCAAAACAGCCACATCAAAAGCCACTGTATCATAGCTGCCAACTAGGGATAGCTGGGATTATTATCCTGGCTCAAGAAACCCTGTAGGTTTCTACAATTACCCTACAAACGTGATCTGCTTGTTTGTATACCTACTCATGGAATGAGACCATGAGGTAAGACATTTTCAAAGATTTCATGAGGGGAGGCTGACAAACTGGGATTACCTTTCTATACTGAAGATGAAAGAGGACATGGCAAATAAAACACCCACATCCATCTTCTTACTCATTTATAATTCTGCAATTATTCTGGAAAGGTCAAATCTAGACTCAATAGACTCCTCTTTAGTAAACAGGACATTTGCAATCTTTTCTCAATCTTTATTCTTACAGGGACTATGAAAAAGTCACCCAGAGACATTTCAATGACCTTGCTCAATAGTTTCCAATCTGACCTCATCCAATCTGGTATCTGTGACTGGAGGCACCCACCAATCCCCTTTTGGAAACTGTATTCCTCTTTTGCCTTACATTGCCTTTCTTTCCCATTTCCAGTCCCATAAGATTGGATGCCCCGTGGTCCTATGCTCCAAAACTTCAGATGCTCCAGAGTTGATGGGTGCAAATGCAGGCTAATAGGTCAAGCAGCTTCTGCTAACAGCTTCCTTGCTGTTCCTGTATCATCTTTCTCAAAGTCTTCTGTTACTCCCCTTCCTTGTTCCTCATGTGCAGCCATAAAGTTTCAACAATTTACCTCTTCCTGTGGTTTTAGGACCCCACGGGTGAGTTTCGTGTTAGGCAACCTCCTGTCTTACTTGAGGGGTCAGCTACCATTTGCCTGTTTCCTAGGGTCTATTCACCTGGAATATACAGTTTACACATCAATCACAGATCCACTTCCACCAAAAGCATCAGAAATCACTTTCTGCTTTGCTTTGCTTTTAATTTCTTTTGTTGCTTGTAACATAAACTTCATAGTCTTCTCCATCCAGGAACTCTCAGTTTGGTACCTCCTGAACCTGGGCCAATGCAAATGGTTCTATTTGATGCACCCCAAACTCTGTATTAGAAGGATTCTGTGTTCCCTTCAAATGATTGCCATTGTGGGGAATTTTTCCAAGCATCCTGGTCCCTCTGATCTTACCATTCCTCCCAAGAGGAATGACTTATCTGATTGATTAGGAGAAGATCCAGGAACTCAGAGCCCAGCATCTTTCTCCTCCCTCTCTGTCTTAGGAGTTAAAGTGCCTACGAATTGGGTCCATTAGGCCCAAGTTGTCCCCTTACCTGTCAATGTGAACCATACTCTCCAATATCATATATCTCAATCGTAAAAGTGGTTTTTTTTTGGCCTCTTTTCAGTCTTGCTCTTTTTATTACTTCTTATTTAGTGCAGAACTCCAAGGAAGAAGAGAGATCTTGGTTAGGGTCCTTTTCACTGGGACTTTATTGCTTCTGGATCTTTTCTTCCATTGTTCTCCCCTCCTGGGGAGACCTGCCCTTCCCTCTGTCTGTTTAGTTCTTGTCTACCTTGAAAGTCTCCATGAGATCTCTCATCACTTTAAAACATTCCTGGGGCTCTGTAGTCTCTCCTTCTCGACTCACCATTCTTGTTTATATCTGTCATTTACATTGAATTTCTGGTAACCTCATCATGCATTCTGGTTCAAATTCTCACTTGCCTATGTGTGATCTTTTTGCACATGATTACCTGTTATGGCTTGTGTCTAGATGTCCTCCCAAAGCCTCATGTAATCATAGGTGGGATTTTTCAGAGATTGCTGACTCTAGAGTTTGTGATTTATTCCTAGCAATGCTAGGGTTATGAATGTTAAGATTAAAGATGAGTAATTACTAAATCAGTCCATTGGTTTGGTACCATCCTAATCCCAGTAGCCTGGATATAACAAAAGACACAGAAAGAGGCTTGTTTTGCCTCTTACTTGCTTGGCTACCTTCTGCACACCATGAAATGCTTCTCTGCAGTGCCCCTCTGCCATGCCACCCTGCCTTGGAGCCAGCCAATTATGGACTGAAACTTCTACAAGCTGTGAGCTAAATAAACCTTTCCCCCTTTGAATTTGGGTGTTTGTGTTTTGTCTCAGCAACAAGAAAATTAACTAACACAATACCTGAGAGCAAATGGATTTTCTTAAGCTTCTCTATCTTCTGTGCCTCTCCCAGGGTCTTACTCCAGGTGAGCTCTGGAGACCGGTAAATTTGGTTCAGCCTCTGATAGTACACAGGCAGCTATCAGCCCCTAACACTGTGACCGTCTAAGGGAGGGTCCCTGCCAACACTGATGTGGTCTTTTTCACTTCTGACACTTTGATTATGGCCTTGGACAAAAAAAAATAGAGAAATGATTGCATTAACTTAAGAGATTTCCAGAGACTGTTTTCTCTGCTAACTTATCTGTTCTGTACTGAATAATTTTGTCTTGAATAATGAGCAAAAATACAAGATAGTAAACACATAACACAGCATCCTTCCTCACATCTCATGAGCCTATAGGCTCCTAAAGAACAGGGCTTATGTTCTTTGGGTCTCCCCAGTAACACTGTGTAAGAAGTAGGCACTCAGGAAACACTGATTATCAGTTTTTAAAATTTTATTTTAAAGGGGATAAAACAGAACAGTCAAATGAAAAAGCAAACTTGTTATAGGACAGTTAAGAAATCCAAATCATTATTGCATATTGTTATCCTCTAAACAGTTACTCAGACTGCCAGCCCCATGCTTGCACAGTCAACAAACAACACAAACATCAGGTTGCTTCCCTGCTTCAGGTATTATCACCTCAGCTGTGTCACTTCTGGTTTCTTATGGGGGGCGGGCAGGAGGAGAGGCATCTTCCTTGCGGCTTCTCCCCAGCCAACAGGGCCTCCCTGGTGCATGGCAGGTGGGAGCTGCATGGTTTCCTTGCTCCTCCTTCCCGTCTGGCAGGGCTGCAGCCCTAGTTTCTTATTTTTGCTGGATTCCTGAATTATCTCTCTCCATGGGCTTCTCAGTTCAGATCCTTCATGTCTCCATGGGGCCCACTTCTCTCCTTCTCTTCCTCATGTTGGTTTATTCCAGGATCTGGACATCAAAACCTGGAGAGGTTCTCTCTGTTTCTCACACCTTCGCCGTTTTCCTAGATTTATTTTTAAACAAGGAAAATGGTCACATCATTGGCTGCAGAGTCATATTTGTTCTTTGATTATGTAATGCAGGGTTATGTCCTAATAAACCTATCATAAGCTGAAAGTATTAATGCACCAAACTCACTGAATGTCAGAAGTTAGCAACACAATACACTATGGTGTGTAGGTTGTTCTCCCTCGTTATCACATGGCTGATTGGGACCAGAGGCTCTGTGCCACTGTCCACAGTCTTGAAGGAATGACTTACTGCATCCCACTAGGCCAGGGAAAGAAGAAATTTCAGGTTCTGAAGTACAGTTGCTCCTGAAGGAATATCACTTGCACATCGTCTTATCATCAAAAACCATTAAGTTGAACCATTGCAAGCCGGGGACCGTCTGGATAGTATTTTGTCACTTGAAGTTAAACATATGCTCTAGTTGCAGGAAAAAGAGAAGAGAGTGGCACACATAAAACTAATTTTATGTGTGTGGTGTGAAAAAGAATTAGAAAGACAGAAATTGATCAAGAGCAATGAGGCCAACCTTTAAACAGAGTACCAGGCAGACAAGCAAAATGATTCTTAAACTGCCTCATTGTAGCCTGTAAGCTTCCATGATGCTGAATGAGATGAAAACACCTCTTTGATTCAAGGCAATGGTTGGCACAATAAACCATACACTCCTGTCTGATCCAAGAGAGCTCTTTTTGACCAAGAACGAGGGTCTTGGGGAAAGCAGTTTCATGCACAGAGCAGCAGAATGATTGCTAAGCTGATTATGAGGCTGAGTTAGCCTCGTGTGGCCTTTTTAAAGTGTGATACGGTATGCATAACACGACATATGAATGCAAAACTTCTGCTAGGTCCTGCAAAGGAGACCATGAAGCTGGCAGTGTGACACCAGAGCAGTTAGGCGGGGAAGCGTGGTTTCTGCACATTGACATGTGACATTTGGCATCTAAAGGGAAGAGCAATAAATAACCCACAAAAGATGACTTTCTGCAATGACAGCCTTTATGACCACAGCCAGTTAATCCTCCACTCCAGCTCTTTACTTTCAGGCCATCTGGAGTTGAATTTTTATTTGCTTATTTTTATTTTCCTGGACTTTGAACTTGTAACATTTTACTTCCTGCAAGTGTCATATTTTGAAGTTGATCAAGGGCTAGGACAGTGACAGGCTGGTGGTAGGTGTTTCCACATGAACATCTGTGTAGGAAACGAGAGTGAGCAGAGATGGTTTAGCAGGCACCCTTGGATGTAGAGCTCATTGAAAGACTCCACTTAGCCACATTGGGTCTGGAGGGGCAGAGGAACCTACCTGCAGAACATTTCTGGTTTTATTACTT